GGGTGTGAATCCTGGGCACATCCTCACCTCACTCTGTGACCCCAGGCAAATCACTTACCTCCCTAAGCCTCAGTTTCCTTCTATGTCAAATGGAGGCAAAAGGAATCTATTCTTTATAGGGCTATTAAAAAAGTTGAGTGTCTGGAGAGCTTGAAGTTTGCTGGACACATAACATTCAATAAATGTCAGATGACATCATCGGTGTCATCACCACCACTGTCACCATCATCACCATTACATCTCATTATCACCATCATCATCCTCATCATCACCTCCACTGTCACCATCACCATCACATTGTCATCACCTCCATCATTATCATTGTCACTGTCATCACCATCACCATCACCATCACCACCATTACACCACTGTCACCATTATCACCACCATTACACCGTCACCAACATAACCACTGCATCATCACTATCACTACCATCATCATTGTCACCATCACCATCATTGTCACCATCATCACTACTATTGTCACTATCATCACCATCACATCATCATCATCATCATCATCATCACCATCACCATCACCATCACCATCACAGTCATCATCACTACAGGCACAAAAACAGTGCTGGAAGGCCCTTCTCCATAGGTCCGGGTGAGGATGCAGTGACATGAAGTATGTGAGGTTAGAGGCCTGGCACGTCTCTGGCACTCAGAGTTAGGCACTAAAAGGCCAGCTCATCAGGTGAGTCCTACCTGGATTTTGTGTCTCAGCTTCTAGGCTTTGCTTGTTGGAGACCCACAGCAGCACCTAGCCCTGGGTAAATACTTGTGGACTGACCCACTAACATGACCTCTTAACTCTCCTGGGTGAGTCAGATCTAGACCTGCTGCTTTAACTTGCAGCCCACCCAGCTGGCCACCCCAGCACCCCGGGATGCCAGTGTTCAAGCGGGGCTCAGCTCTGACTTGAGCCCATCTTCTCGGCCCCTGTGCTGGGCTGGTAGGCTCACCAGCTCAGCTGAAAACACAGGGGCACATGGAGAACCTGTGGCTCCATAATGCCTCTCCTTTCCCCGGCTGTCTGGAATAAGAGGCAGGAGTGTGATATGGGAAGTCCTGGCTCCAGTCTTACTGGGCCCCTTAGCAGCTATGTAGTTTTGGACCGGTCCCTGCCCCTTTTGAGCCTGAGTTTCCTCATCTGTAAAATGGAACGATCCTGCCTGCTTAGTTCAACCTCCAGGATGGGAATCCATCTTAAGGATGAACTGCAGTAATGGTGGGCAGGGTTTTGAAAAGTGCTATCAGCTAAACAATGGCCATGGCTAGCACTGACTGGGGTCTCTACCTTTCTTCAACAGCCATGGCCCAGATGGCCTGGCCACTCACCAAGCCCATCTCCTCTTCCTGCTGGGCACGCAGCTGGACTGCATGCCCCGCCTTATTTGCAATCCAGCGTGGTCATATAAATGAGTTCTAGTCAATAAAATGTGAATCAAGTGAAACACAACATTACTGAGCCTGGTCCTCAAACCCGGTCCCCTGCATGACCTGATACTCTGATACCCTGATGCTCTGGTGATGCCAACAAGCCTGGTGAGATTGGAAGCCATGTGCTGAGATGCTGGAGCCACAGACAGAGTCACCCTGGGAGGAGAGCTGCGTGCCAGTCAGGAACACTCATTCTGAACTGTATATGAGCAAGAAATATTTGAATTCCTACTCATTTGGTGTTTGTTACAGCAGCAGTGTACAAACACTATAGCACTTGACTAAAACAGCTGCATCAACTCTATTTAATCGTTCATTTTATTTCAATTAGATTTTTCCTTTCTAGAAGTTTTATTTGCTTCTTTTTCAAAATATCTTGGCCTTTTTGTAGTCTGTTCTTTATTCATATTATTCGTATTTTTGAACCCTTCCTTTAATTCTTTCTATGGATTATCTTTATGTTCTGTTCTGTGTCTGATGACGCTAATATCCAAACCTTTGCAGCTTCACTGTGCTGTCTGTTGTTTACCTTGATGCTTGCTCATGGTGCTTTTTCCCTTGTGGGTCTTTGTGGGTTTTGATTGTGGTCCTTTCAAATTAATTGTGGAGAATTCTTCAAGGCGTAGGCTGAAAATGGGAACCACCGGAGATTATTCATATCTCCTTCTGCCGGGTGTGTAGGGTCACTCCAATTTGCCTCTTTTATATGAAAATCCTAGCCTAAGGATTTGGGGTCCACACAGCTAGTGTAAAACCCATGTTATGGCTGTGGTTATGAGCCCTGGCTGAGCCCATCTGGCTGGTGGTTATGACTCTTTAGGGGAGGTTTTTATTCATTTTTTACTCATGTCCAAGATTGATGTAGACCAGTATCCTTGCTTTCCCTTTCTTCAGCCCCTCCTTTCCCATCTTATTCCAATAGTGACAGCACAGTCCTTTGGGGGATACCAGCTTTATTTGGGGTTTCCTGATCGTTTTTCGAAACAGAGTCTCACTCTGTCGCCCAGGCTGGAGTGCAGTGGTGCGATCTCGGCTCACTGCAACTTCCACCTCCTGGGTTCAAGTGACTTTCCTGCCTCAGCCTCCTGAGTAGCTGGGACTACAGGCGCCCACCACCACGCCCAGCTAATTGTTGTGTTTTAGTAGAGATGAGTTTCACCATGTTGGTCAGGCTGGATTCGAACTCGACCTCAAGTGATCTGCCTACCTTGGCCTCCCAAAGTGCTGGGATTACAGGTGTGAGCCACTGCACCCCACCGGGTTTCCTGATTTCCCTTGCTGGGTGGGCCCTGGCTTTCCTCCCATGCCCAGGGCCATATGTGGTCATGACAAAGGAAGATCAGGTAACCAGGCGTGGCCGAGGTCCCCCAGGCAAAGCCAGCTTTGGCAGCTGCTCACCTCTTGGGATTTCACGTTCACTTGTACTTCTCTGGTATGTGTTTTCCTTGTTCTTGCTCAGTGTGGTGCATTTTAACACATACATTATAGATCTCTCTATATATGCACATATAAAATATATTCATATACATATATACATATACATTATATTTTCCGTTGCTTTGCAGTGGGACTCTTGTTCAGCGATTAAGTCTGCCATACTGTGGAAAATAGAAGCATTCTCTGGTAGCATATAGTAGATTTTTAATAAGCCGCAAAAAGTATCTTTAAAATCCTCCCTCTCCATTTCGAGTCCCCACATGGAGGCATCTGCTCTTCCACCATCCTCCTCCATTCAGGAAAGCCCTCCCCGTGCCTAGCTCTGTCTCCCAGCCCAGCCCCACCCCTGAACCAGCCAGACAGTGGGGGAGGGGTTGAATTTATCTATAGATAGTCTTCTCCATCACGTTGGTACAGTCAGCCTTCGATGTCTGCGGGTTCCACATCTTCAGATTCAACAACCTTGGATCAAGAATATACAGAAGAAAGGCAGGGCACGGTGGCTCATGCCTGTAATCCCAGCATATGGGGAAGCCGAGGCAGGTGGATCACTTGAGGTCAGGAGTTTGAGACCAACCTGGCCAACATGGTGAAACCCTGTCTCTACTAAAAATACAAAAATTAGCTGGGTATGGTGCGGCATGCCTGTAATTCCAGCTACTCGGGAGGCTGAGGCAGGAGAATCACTTGAACTCAGGAGGCGGAGGTTGCAGTGAGCCAAGATCATGCCACTGCACTCCAGCCTGGTGACAGAATGAGACTCTGTCTCCACATACACAAAAAATAATACAAATTTTAAAATATAGTATACTGTTTACATAGCATTTACATTGTATCAGGATTATAAGTAATCTAGAGATGATGTATAAGTACACGGGAGGATGTGTGTAGGTTACATGCAAATACTAGGTCATTTTATATCAACGACTTGAGCATTTGTGGATTTTAGTATCCTCGGGGGGTCCTGGAACCAATCACCAGGATACTAAGGGACAACTGTATACACCAGCCAGAAAAGGCTTTGGTGCTTTCTTCTCAAGGACACAATTAGTGTGGGGTGTACTGGGAGATGAAATCTTCTGGAAGAGCTGGTCCTGACTCTGCTGGAGGGCAGAGTGGGCTGGGGTAGCTGTTCTGGAAGAAGGAAACAGCCTGAGCCCCAGGGGCTGAGGGAGGTAAGAAACAGGTGTGAGGGAGCCCACAGCCTAAGACGGAGACTCAGCTTCCCTGTGGGCTCACCTGCGGGAGGCAGAGGCCCCAGCTGACCCGGCGCAGCAGGCACGTTCTACATCATCATCAGGCAGAGCGGATTTTTTTTTTTTTTTTGACAGGGTCTTGCTCTGTTTTTCAGGCTGGAGTGCAGTGGTGAGAACATGGTTCACTGCAGCCTCAACCTCCTGGGCTCAAGCAATCCTCTCACCTCTGCCTCCCGAGTAGCTGGGACAACAGGCAGGCATATGCTACCATGCCCAGCTAATTTTTAAAATTTTTTAGAGGTGGGGATACACTGTGTTGTCCAGGTTGGTCTCGAACCCCTGGCCTCAAGTGATCCTCCTGCCTCAGCCTCCTGAAGTGCTGGGACTACAGGTGTGAACTACTGTGCCTGGCCAGACAGAGCTTTCTAATGGGCAAGAATGGCATCCATGGCCTTAGAGGCAGTGAATCCCCATAGAGAGGGGTGTCAGCAGAGGGAGGAACCACCTTCTGGGGAGTCTGCACAGGGTTCCGGCCTCCAATGTGCAGGGGAGAATGGGGTGCTCCTAATGGGTTGGGTTCCGCACCCAGGGCCAGGTGCCTTGTTCAGGCCACCTTGGGCACAGACCCTATGCCCTGTCCTGTCTGCTCTGGCTGTCAAAATCTGGGCTGTGGTGGTCAGACAGGGCCCATCAGCTGATGTCCATTCACCATTTAGGAGCTCCTGGGGACAGGTAGGATGTCATTGGGACCAAAGGTAAGACCAGAGTCCCTGGGTCGTGTAGAAAGCGTCGGTCATACTATTCTCATGATGCCGCTCAAACCTAATCACACGTCTAACTCATCTGGGGGTACAGGCAGACTGACTCTGAGAGGACAAGGCCTTTCCCCACTCACAGCTTGGGTCTCCCCCTTCCTTTTAGGGCAGGAGGCTGCGACCTTGAGATTCCAGGGCATCACCCTCCCAGTTCTGGGCTTCTCAGAAGCAACCGCCCCACCGACCACCCGCAATGCACACACATCTCTGGCCATATTTCCCTAGGAGCAGCTGACAACAGGGTTCTGTGGTGCTGTGACAGTGGGCCAGGTGTGATGTGGTGATGGTTTCCGGAGCAAGGGGCAGGATCCCTAAAGAGCAGAGTGGACTTCCTAGGAGCTGGGGCAACCTCAGAGCTCCTCCCTCCCTCACACGGCAGCTTCCAAGGTACTGGGAGGGCCCCAGTCATGCATGTGCAGCGGCATGGTCTCGAATCACTGCGACCTTCGCCTCCTGGGTTCAAGCGATTCTCCTGCCTCAGCCTCCTGTGTAGCTGGGATTACAAGCTCCCGCCGCCACACCTGGCTAATTTTTGTATTTTTAGTGGAGATGGGGTTTCACCATGTTGGCTAGGCTGGGCTTGAATTCCTGACCTCAGGTGATCTGCCTGCCTCGGCCTCCCAAAGTGCTGGGATTACAGGTGTGAGCCACCTCGCCTGGCCCACATGGTGTCGTTTCTATATACCTGGTAAGAGGAAAATATCTTTGTGTTTCTTTAGTTAAAATGACAAATGGTAGAAGTTTTGCACCCCGTAATGCCTGGACCTGGACCTGGAGCTATTGAAATGGGGTTGCTCCAGAAAAGCTGTGCTCTGAGACCCCCAGGGCTGGGACACTCGGCAACTCCTTTCCAATGGAGCCCCCCGCGTTCCTGCTCCAGACCTGACCTGCCTTCCCATAGTTGGGGGATCCTGCAGGTCTAATCACCCAAGCTGCTCTCTAGCAAGGTAGCAGCTGCGCACAGACGGCCGCGTTCAAACCCCTGCTCATGCTTTCCCTGCGTGGCCACTGCCCCAGGGAGGCTTCCTCATTGTGGGGGTGTGGGGGTGAGGATTCTGATGCCAACCATAACAGCTTCCCGTCTTTCCTGCCTTCCAGTTTCCTCCAGCGGCCTGATAAACCTCCACGCATGAGAGAACCATGGTTTTGGGTCTTGCCATGTTCCTGGCCTCTCTGGTTGAGGAATCTGGCCAGGGGCCAGCGGGGGTCTCAGCTCCCCTCCCCAGTTTCTGGGGCCTCAGGTGGGAAGGCTGGACAGGCAGGAGGTGACCGGATCCTGGGGCTGAACTCATCCTGGGGCGGGGGTTCACTCCCACCTCGGGTCCCAGGTGGACTTGGCTGGTGCTGCCAATGGAGCAAGGGGGCACAAGTGGCCTCCCTGTGTGCCTTGGGCTTCTCAGGGTGTGAGAGCAGGGCTCTGAGTGTCCCAGGAGTGGTCATACTCCCTGGCCTCACCGTGCTTTATGATGGAGGCAGTCACAGCTGCCTTGTCCTCTGCAGAGTCCCGAGGTGGCACAGGGCATCGCATGGTGAGGGGCTCAGTGTGCTGGCTCAGGTCTCTCTTCCTTCTTGTATAAAGCCACTAGTGCCACTCTCGTCATAACCCATTAATTCATTAGCCCATTCATCTATTAAGCTTCTAATCTGTGAATGGATTAACCCATTCACGAGGGCAGAACCCTCACAATCCAATCACCTCTTTTTTTTTTTTTTTTTTTTTTTTTGAGATGTAGTCTTGCTGTGTCACCCAGGCTGGAGTGCAATGGCGTGATCTCAGCTCACTGCAACCTCCGCTTCCCTGGTTCAAGCAATTATCCTGCCTCGGCCTCCGACTAGCTGGGATTACAGGCGTCTGCCACCACACCTGGCTAATTGTTTTGTATTTTTAGTAGAGACGGAGTTTCGCCATGTTGGCCAGGCTGGCTTTGAACTTCTATCCTCAAGTGATCCACCGCCTTGGCCCCCCAAAGTGCTAGGATTACAGGCATGCGCCACCGCACCCGGCCCCAATCACCTGTTAAAGGCTCCACTTCTCTTGGCCGGGCACGGATCACCTGAGGTTGGGGAGTTTGAGACCAGCCTGACCAACATGGAGAAACTCCGCCTCTACTAAAAATATACAAAATTAGCCAGGCATGGTGGCGCACACCTGTAATCCCAGCTACTCAGGAGGCTGAAACAGGAGAATCGCTTGAACCTGGGAGGCAGAGGTTTTGGTGAGCCGAGATGGCGCCACTGCACTCCAGCCTGGGCAACAAGAGCAAAACTCCGTCTCAAAAAAAAAAAAAAAGAAAAGAAAAAAAGGCTCCACCTCTCAACACTGCCAAATTGGCGATTAAGTTTCACATGAGTTTTAAAGGGGATCAGTGGGCCACTGTGGCCTCAAGAGCCTTGTAGGGTTTGAGATGTGAGAGCCGAGGACCACCAAGGAGAGGGGGCTGCGGAAAGCAAATGATGGATGACCCAGCAGGGGATGGGACCTCATGCAGGCTCTGTGAGCAGCTGGCTGTGCAGAGCTGTTCCCTGCTGGGCAGGCAGCTCAGATCCTCTCCTGAGTGAAGACAGAACGTGTTTCAAATGCAGCTTTCCTAAGGGCACAGCTTCTGTCTCAGAGCAACTCCTAGGACAATGTGGCCTGTCCGGAGGGAGCCGGGAGGAGGGCACTGGGAAGGTCCTGGGCCTTTTCCCTTCCAGGCGCCAGCAGGGAGCTCCACCCTGGCAGGCATGGGGAGAGGCCGGAGCGGCAGGCACCATGACCAGCTGGAGCGGGGACGCGTCTGACAAAAGACTTCCCCCACCCCCTGATTTGTGAATCTAATTTTAGGAAAAATTTTACACAGTGTAAAAGCCTTTAAACACATGTAGCTACACATTTTACAAGCTGCTTCTATTGATAAGAATAAAATTACATATAAGAAACATCAGCTTCAAGCAAAACTACCCTCCATTCGAGGACACATCTCACTGGGGTCACTTGCTGTGGAGGTGGAGGCGCACCGATGCGTTTGCATCAAGGCCGCTCCTGGCAGTTTGCAAGTATTATTTGAGTTCCTGCACATTCATTCCACAGGAGCCCAGAGCCGCCAGCTCACAGCCACAGCCTGGCTGAACTGGGCGGGGTGGAGGCGGTGTGGAGGGGGGGGGAGTTCAATGGGATGTCCCGGGGCCAGGGCGGGATTCAGGAACTGGAGCCAGATGCTGAGAGTGGCCGTGACCTTGCAGTGTTAAAGAAGGTATGAGGTGGGGGTACCCCACTCCAGGACCAGCCTCTCATCTGTGCATCCCACTCATATTTATGGAGTGCCCCTCACCTGAGTGGTTTTGATCCTTCTGTGAGTTAGCTCAGGGTTACCATAACATATGACCACAAGCTGGGTGGCCTAAATCAACAGCAATGTCTTCTCTCACAGTTCTGGAGCCCAGCATCCGAAATCTAGGTGTCGGCAGGGTTGGTTCCTTCTGGAGGCTCTGAGGGTGAGTCTGCTCCGGGCCCCTCTTGCCCAGCCTCCAATGGGTCCTGGAAGCTCTTGGCATTCCTTGGCTTGTGGCTGCATCCCTCCCCTCTCTGCCTGCAATGTCACGTGGCCTTCCCTCTGGGTGCCTTCTGTGTCTGAGTGTCTCAAACCTCCCTCTCCTTTCTCTCATGAGGATGCCAGTCAGTACATTTAGGTCGAGCTTTGTCTTAATCACATCTGCAAAAGCCCCATATCCAAATAAGGTCACGTTCACAGCTCCTGGGGTTAGGATGCAGATGTGTCATTTTGGGAACACTGTGCAGTTCACTGCAACCTCAGAGAACTGAGGGATGGAGTTTTCCTTGATGAGGTCTCTGCAGGGCTGCCCCCCAGGTGACGGAAGCTGGCACAGGGGCCCAGCAGAGGGGGGCCAGTGGCTGAGGGGAAGGAGCCAGAGGGGCCTCAGTCCCAGGAGCAGCTGCCTCATAGTCTGGCAAGCACAATAAGCCCGGGGCCTCAGGGCCTCCACAGGTCTGGGAGCAGCCAGACCCGGTGCCCCAACTCGGCCCCTTCTCTGTGGGTGTCTTAGTCCATTTTTTGTTGCTTATAACATAATACCTGAAACTGGGTTTTTAATAAGGAAAAGCAAATTACTTCTTACAGGTACGGAGGGTGAAAAGTCCAAGGTCAAGGCACCGCATCTGGTGAGGACCTTCTTGCTGGTGGGGACTCTCTGCAAGAGTCCCAAGGTGGCACAGGGCATCACATGGTGAGGGGCTCAGCATGCTGGCTCAGATCTCTCTCGCATCTTGTGTAAAGCCACTAGTGCCACTCTTGTCATAACCCATTAGTCCATTAGCCCATTCATCTGCTAAACTCCTTATCTGTGAATGGATTAACCTTTCATTCACAAAGGCAGAACCCTCATGAGCCAGTCACCTCTAAAGGCTCTACTTCTCAACACTGCCAAATTGGCAATTACGTTTTACATAAATTTTGAAGAGCACAAATATTCAAACCATAGCAGTGGGCCACTGTGACCTCAAAAGCCTCCTCAACGTTTCTGCCCTCTGTGATCCCAAGCCCACCCAGACTCTCCTCCCAGCACTACTCAGAGCAGACGGGTAGACCAGAAGACCTAGAGTTGGTGGGGGTGGGGAAGGTGGGGAGGTGACCTGGGGGAGAGGCTGCTCAAGGGTGATGCACACCTAGACAGGTGGCCTGTACCCTGCGACCAAGTGCCCAGTTGCCTTACTCCAGTTTTTTTGTTTGTTTTTGTTTGTTTTTTTAGACGGAGTCTCACTGTGTTGCCCAGGCTGGAGTGCAATGGCACGATCTCCATTCACTGCAATCTCCACCTCCCAGGTTCAAGCAATTCTTGTGCCTCAGCCTTCCGAGTAGCTGGGATTACAGGCATGAGCCACCATGCCTGGCTAATTTTTGTGTTTTTAGTAGAGACGGGGTTTCCCTATATTGACCAGGCTTGTCTTGAACTCCTGACACCCAAGTGATCCACCCACCCGCTTTGGCCTCCCAAAGTGCTAGGATTACAGGCATGAGCCGCCGCGTCCGACCCTCCAGTTTTTGATCCTGGGACTGACTCTTCCCCAGCGAGAATGTCAAAGGTGCCTGCCCACCTCTGGGAATTCCCTCCTGAGTCCCGTCCCTCTGTTAAGAATGCTGCTGTGACTTGTACCCACACATAGAGCTCCTTCCTGTCACCCAGCTGTCAGCTTAGTTGACACTATTCAATGTCAACTAATGCGAAAAGCCCCATCGCCCTCTCCTGTGGCCTTGTGTCCTCCGCACTGCGTAAGCAGGAGCTGGAATCTCCTCCGCCTCTTCCCTGCGCTGCTGGGTGTAGGTTCCTGTTTGTTTCTCCACTGACGGCAGGGACCCTGAAGGGACCAATTCACGACATCCCACGTCTAGAAAAGTGCTCAACACATTACAGGAATTCAAGAAAGAAGTTTGTCAAATAAAGGAACTTTCTGACATTCTGAAGTGACTAACGATGGCATG